GTCATTTTTAAAGTCTCAGGATCTTAAAATGATTCCAAATTGTGGAATTTATATTTTCCTGGGTCCTAGATCATAATTTTTTTTGTTAGTCTGAATTTACTTCATTTACAGAGTTCAATTGGAATCATCCTAGAATTTCATCATACTTCTATTCTGGATTCCCCTAAACTAATCTTGATAATATCCAAACTTTTTCAGTAACATTCTAGTAGTGCTTAGCATTATCTCTTGTAATCTCTTATAAATCGCTCTCTGATTCCATAATTCCCTCAAACTGGTAATAACTTCCAAGAACTGGAAAAATTGCTTGGTCGCTCTTCAGAATGACCATCACATTCTTCTCAGACTTATCCTCTTCAGTGAACTCTAAGTACTCAAATACTTTGCCAAAATAGCCTTGAAAGTCTCCCTGAAATTGCCAGATTTCTTAAAGTTTGATAAAACCTAATCTCCATAGGACATAATTCCATTGAAATTATTCTCACGATTCATATCAGCCTTCTCCTTAAGAATTTTTTATGATTTCTCTTCCGAATTCTAACTTTTTCATTTCTTCACAAAATTTCCATGCCATTGTTATCAGAGTTTGCAAAAGACAATTTATACCGTCTTCACTTCAATTAAAAGGTTTCACAGACTGCATACTTACACTTCACTGTAAACTATTTTCAGAATTACCTTAAAATTCTGAAATCTAGAGCAATTCAGAATTCTGAAGTATTTCAGACTGCTAAGGTAACAGGTACTTTAAAATTATATTTAAAAATCTAACTAAATATCCTCGAAAATATCACGAACATACTTCAAAGTCCTGGTGGTTGTCTAGATTCATAAGCCTTGCTAGTTTTCCAAAGCTCAATTTATTGTTTTCAATCCTGCACAGTTTTCGATTTCTCTCAATTCCAAAATTAGGAAATTCCTCCATATTGGAATATTGATTTTTTATAAATCCAGAATTAAAAAAAAAAATATTATAGCCAAAAACAAAACACACAAATCCTGGCTCGATATTTTTAAAAATTTGAAGATTTTTTACAGCCAATAATGTCTCAATTTTCTTGATTCTGCAAACCATTGCAAACATGTTGTAACACTTCCATGTATGATGTTGCTATAATGTTCAACGTTGATGGTCTTAAGTAATTAAAGTAGTAAGTTTGGGTTTTTATTTTTAAAAATCTTGGAGAATCTGGAACATATTTAAAAAAAAATCAGGATATAAACGTGATCTGTCTGTGTATCTGGCTAGACGACTGAAAATCTGGAATACTGGCAACACTGCTGGGAGCTAAGGATGACAACTCTCGGACCCGTCCAGCTCTTCGGATCTTTTTTTCTCTCTCTCGATTCTTCACGATTCAGCTCCGGATCCGGATCTGAGCTCATGATCTGGAGCTGATGCCGAGAATAGTGAGAGAAATTCTGCTGGAGAATTAACATCAGAAATAAAATTTGAATTTAGAATGGATTGCATAGCTTGAGAAAAGGCGTAACATTGTGTGCCAAGATGTCAATCATATCATCACGTGTGTCATTTTTTTGTTTTAAAGCTATGTTGTTGGCACATTTTGCGCGCATTTTGGTTTACGCGGTGGTTGATCAGTTGTTGCGTTAGTAGCGTTTTCCATTGAAAAGTAAAGCCATTTTGTAAGGTACGGATTTATTCGTTTAGACTACTTTAACGATTTTCTGCAGTTTTAAGCACTAAAACCACTAATTAATTTTCCGATTTTGAATTTGTGTCATAATTTCTATGATTTCAATGTGAGCTGAAGAGCTGTTCAAAAGAATCGACTCCCTTTAGTGAGCTGGATGGGTTTTATCCACTCAGCCAGATGAGCTGTTTTGCCCACCTCTATTCAGACTCTACACAAATTTTAAAGCCCCAGAATATTGGGAATCTTCTTAAATCACTTTTATTTTTATCCTTTCAGTAAATTCCTTTCAGCACGTTCTTAACAATGTGTACAATTTCGTTTTTTTGTGAATACAAGGCTGGTAGCAGGTCACTTTTTAGTGACTTGGTCACTATTTTGAAGCCAGTCACTAAAAAGTCACTTTTTACACCAAAAAGTCACTAAAGTCACTATTTCCCTAAAAATAGTCACGAAAGTCACTTTTTCACTACTAAAATATAGTGAAATTTAAAAATATCAACAAAATATTTAAACTGAGTACTTGGCGCTTAGAAAGTCTACAGTAGTTCTAACAAAATATACATTTAAATTTAATTTAAAATTTTAACCAGGGTGGCCAGTGAACCGCAAAACTGTAGAGCACCAGGAAAACTATTCGGAAATGCTTTAAATTTCGATTGAAAATCGGAGAAAATATACCTCCTTTCCCCGAAAATAAATTGTAAACCTTGAAAACTTTCCAAAGGTATTTGTCAATGATAGATTTTCAATGGTAATCATCCAATTTAGAAAATCAAAAGTAAATTTCAAGAGAGTTTTACAGGATTCTAGGGATGACACCAAGATATATCAGAGGAGAATACCAAAGTACAGACTACGAAAGTCTCGTGAAAATAAATTGCTTTGAGGACCGATTTCTTCATCTTCGCTTAAATCTTAAGCCAGGTTTACCTATATGTATAGTTTAACTTGGCTTAACACATACGAGCGTCTCTGATAATTTAAACAATAATCAAAAGCGACATTATTGTTTAAATTATTAGAGACGCAAAGTTCAGCTCCGGAACAATTTTGGAAATAATTCCAATATAATGGAGATTGCATTTAACGAGAGTTCTAAGAAGAATTCTATGAAGTTTGGATAAGGATTCTAGGTCCAATTCTAATAAGAATTGAGGAGGTTAGAAGGAAAGGGGTGTAAGTGACTTTGATCTATTACCTTCATCGTCTTTCTCTTTTGATAGTCACAGCTTTATAAACAGATTTTGCACTATTTCTGCCGCATAGTTTGATAAAGGAGGTCCTCATCTAGCATCCAGAATGGCACGTGAAGCAAGGAATGTGTTTGCAGTTGATTTATTAACGAAAGAGAAATTCGATGAAGATAATCGATCAAAGTCACTTACACCCCTTTTCTTCAAAACCCCTCAATTCAAAATTTATTCTGAAATTCCAAGAGAATTCGAAATTCCGAACTCTTTATCGAAATAAATTCCGAGAATTCCACTGGAATCGAATTTTGAAGCTTCAATCTCAAAGGAATTCTGAGAAGAGTTTCAAAGTTATTCTGTGACGGATTTTTGTTTTGAGAATTCTGAGGAAATACTATGGGAATTCTAAGAAGAATATGAATTGAATTTCCAATTGAACGCAGGAAAGAAGTGCAAGATTATTCTAAGAAGAAATTTCTGAAATTTCTGAGGTTAATTGCATGGAAATTCTAAGGTGAATTCACATAAATTTAAAATGGATTTATTGAAAGAGCCTTCAGGGAGTTCCTAGAAGAATCAATACAAAATCGAAAATGATCTTCTTTAACTAATCATGTGTTATTACTTCATGCGTGAATTTAACGATATACATAATTGGATATGCTTAACGTCAAATATCAGACTTACAGTGGAGATAAATGAGGAGATTAGAGTTGATAGTTCCGTTATAGTACGGCAGTGTGAAAATAATACATACAAAGTAGAAAGCGAGCAAAAAACAAATTTGAGGAAGGTACGAATCGGGTAGTTGTTTACGTCAGATGGCGACTTGAGTGTGGAACAATCGATATAACTGTTTCCGAACATTGGAGGTACATGAGCAAATCAGCGATCATCCCTTTTGCCAGTGGTGGCAGGGAGAAATACCCCTCACCATTACTCATTAACGGATGAGCTTGGCAAAGGAGACGCTCTACCCAATTCGTACCTTCTTCAAAATTGTCCTTTGTTCGCTTTCTACTTTCTATATACAAATTTTACACTGCCGTACCATAACGGGACTATCAACGTTTTATTTCATCTCCTCATCTATCGTACAAAATGTCCACTTTAATTCTGATATTTGATGTTAAGAATTTCCAACTACGAAAATAATCTATTTCCAAGAATTTTGATGATTGTTCTGCAAACAATTTCAAGAATGCAGTATTATTTTTTTAAAGATAATTTGCCTAAACGGTGCCGGTGGTGTAGTGGTAGGCGTGATTACCTCTCACCCCTGCAGGCCAGGGTTCAATCCCAGTCGGCGCCGCCGGGATGTTCTGAGGCATATCATCTCTGATCACGCCTTCCTTCGGATGGGAAGTAAAGCCATTGGTCCTCGGTCTATGAGTTGATGGGTCGATAGGTAGGGTCCAGGTGAGGGAGCTGCCTTCCTGGCACGTCGGTAGCATTGGTGCTCAGCACGGAAAACAAGATCGACGGAAAAAACAAACCAGAGAAAAAAAAAGGATAATTTGCCTCTAATTTCAAGAGAACCCTTGAAAAAGGTTCTTGATATCATTCTGAAGAAATTCTGTGAAAAGTTCTCAGCGAATTATCAAATTTATCTACCTACATAGATATATCAAAATTTTAAAGAAACGCAAGATCATAAAAAATGGGAATTACTATTTGCTAGTCGTCATATATAACGTAAGCAAAAGTAAATTATTCAAATCACTTCAAATGCTCTTCACAGGAGATTCCGTTGTGAGATTCGAGTGAATTAGAGGAATTTATGAAATTTGATTTTAAGTTCCATGACATAAAAAGTTTATTTCAATATCAAACCGTATTTGAATTTCGAAGCTACCATATACATGATTACGTATTTAGTCACTATTTGGTCACTATTTCCGTAATTTTAGTCACTAAAGTCACTACTATTATATCGCATCAGCACTACCAGCCCTGTGAATATTAACAACCGGGAATTTTCAAATGAAAATTCACTAGCCACCCTGCATTCCTCATTTACGAAGAATCTAATATGTATAAATCATTGCACAAACTGGTGCAGTTATCCTAATTTCCAAAAGTTCTTTCGATCGATCGAGTTTAACCCCTTTGACTAATCCCAAAATCGCTTCTACTTCCTATCTCTCTCTAGGTCCGCTGCGGTGCGTTCGAAACGCTCAGCTACCTGATCGAGAAGGGCTTCCTGGACAAGGCCACCACGGAGGAAGTGGTCTGCCCGGTGGTGGAGATGCTGAGCCGCAAACCGTTGGAAACCTTCGACGAGGAACTCTACGCCATCTTCATCCACGTAAGTGTCGTGCACGGTTCTTGTTTCGTTTATTTTATTTTTTTTCTTTAAATATATTTTGGTAGTGTGCTTCGGTAGTTTGTTATTAATTATCAATTAGTGTCGTCCTCTTGCTCTGACGATGGTGGCTAATTATTCGAGAAATGAGATTTTTTTTTTCGAAGATAATTAAGTGTGAGCCTTACGTAGGACTGAGGCGAAAGAAAAAATCAAACTACACAACGACGACGGCGATGAAATTATAATGCCATTAATATTGATTCGAATGACGAAACCAAATGAGGGGGGGTGTGTGAACAACGACGAGAAAATAAAAAGAACGGCAAGAAGACAGCGGGCTTCCTTCCGGTTTTGCGGGCAGTTCCCCGGTGTGTGGCAGGAGTGTATTACTTTCCCATGGCCATCTACGACGATGACGACGGTGACGCTGCGGGTTGAGGAAAAGTGTTGGACTTAATGGGAACGTTCACGATGACGATGACGACGACCGGGGGATGATAATGATGAATGACATACGATCCCGACGAGGGACAGCCGATGAGCCAAGTGTTGAAGGGAAAATTTCAGTTATATGCAATGTAGATGGATGCTGCCTGCTTTCGCGGGGAGAATATAATTTCAAATTTTGTGACAAGACATACATGAGATATGACGACCACCCAGGTAGAGCTGAGAGTATGCCGTAGTCGGTAGTATAGAAGATGTGTGTGCGTGCTGCAGTTTTAGCACTATGGTGTGATGTTGAATAGTTTTGTGATGGGCAGCTTTCTCCCGCCGCCGATCCTCTGGCCGGTGTTCGGCGGCAAGAAAGACATGGGTAGTGAGATAGTTTCACCCTATTGCACTGGGATCTCACTACCTTGTCTTTCATGTTGATGAATACATAATTTTGCGAAAGCGCGGATGACGAGAAGCTGCTGCCATTCAGTAGACCGAGTGACACGTACCGGAAGTACCGTAGAAGCAAGCGTATCCCCTCGATTTGAGCTTAGAAACTAGGTCGCAATGCGATTGCAGTGCTTGTGTTTGTGCGTGTGCAAGTGTGTGGGTGTGCCATTGAGTAGTCGATCGGAAATGGAATCCAAGTCCCTCGGTGAGAGAACATCATCATCGTCCAGAACCAGAGTGACCTGTGTTGGCATCAAATCTGGTTGTCTTAGTACCACATTTTTTAAAAATCCCTATCACAGCCAGCTTTGATGAGCAACGCATCACTCATACTCACAGATCACTCACCGGGACTCTCCGGAAAAATGTGTGCTGTTTTGGAAAAGCCTCGCCGACTCGTCTTCCGGTCGAAGGATGCTTGACTGAGCTCATCAATTGGTTGTGGCTATGTGCCTTCCGTTGCGTTTCGCGTTGTCCGAAGCGTCCCAATCATATCACAGCCATTTTGATGAGCTCAGTCGGGTGGTCAATGCCATCAACCCTGAGCTGGAGAACCCCATCTGCAATCTGCCGCCGCAAATTCCACCGCCAAATGTCCAGACTCGATCGAATCGTAAAAATGGTTGTGCTGTGTTGATGTTTCCGAAATTCATATCACAGCCATTTTGACGAGTTCGATCCTGGATCCGTGCTCAGCGAGAGTGACACTCTTCATTCAACAAACTAAAGGGAGAGAGGGAGATCATAGAGAGGAGCTGTTTCCCCTCTCAAAGTGGTTGTGAAATGGGTTCAAGTTGTTCAATTCCCATATCACAGCCAGCTTTGAAGAGCGAAACGGTTCCGGCAAGCTTCTGTTCAGAGTATGCAACAGGGAAACGATATAGTGAATTAGATAAGGACGGATTTTTTTTTTTTGTGCAAAGTGACGAAATATTTCAGCGATTAGCGGGCGTATTCTAAACTCTCAAAGTGGCTGTGAAATGGTGCAGTAGCTCATATCCCATATCACAGCCAGCTTTGATGAGCTGGGCTGCGTTCCAGGTTCATCGAGCGACGAGGTCGCCCAAGTTCAGCGACCCAGCAAGGATCGGATCAGAAACCAAGCGTAAGATGCAAATGTCTACTACTAAGCGTTTTTTTTCACACGAAATTTAAAATTTACATCTGAACTCCAGCAGTTCCAGCAAAATGTAACTAATTTCCCAACCATTTTCCTACACAGCTCATGGTGAAGATCGTGCCGATCGTTGGCTATGCCAAAACGTATGAACTGGTGTACGATCGGTTTCTGGAGATGTGCCACTGCAAGGAGCACTTTGTCCGGCGGGAGTGTGCCACCGCGTTTCCTGTCATGTGCGAGGTGCTCGGCAACGAGCTGTTCGAGAAGATTATGGTAGGTGTTGAACTCCCATCCACTGACGATCGCCGGTTACTAATCACAATCCATCAACAGCTACCCGTCTTCATGAGACTGTGCGACGACGAAATCTGGACGGTGCGGCGGGCTTGCGCCGAGGTGATGCCCATCATGGCCCTGCTCTGTACGCTGGAGAAACGGCGCAAGGTGCTGGTGCCGGCGATGAAAAAGTTCATGTTCGATCCCAGTCAGTGGGTCATCATGGCGGCGCTGAAGGTATGTTGTATGGGATGGGGTCCTAGTAGAGATGTTAGGACCGTGTGAGATAATACTTAACTGAATATAGATATAGAGAACCTGTCCATGTTCTTCGTCTTCCATGTTGTTACGTCTCAGCTGAGCAGTTCCAAGGCAAATGACGAAGCGGAAAAAAACTAGACCATCTTCGATTTTAATGAAACTTTGCATAATTGTTTGTTATGGGCAGTGATTCACATTTTTGCTAAAATTCGGCCATTCTAGTTCTTGTAAAAATTTCAAAATTGCGTTTTTTTGTTCAAAAAATTATAAAGTTGTAAACACAAATAATGTTTTTTTATGGGAAAATATACAAATTTCAAGTAACAAGTAAGAGGTTGTATCCAAGACGCGACCATAGATTTGACGTAGGATTACGAAAGGTAGTTTTGATGTCACAGCAAAAGAATAGTAAATATTAAATCGATTTCTCAACTCGTTATCAGTCAAAAAGTTCGATAGGTTGAAATTCGGGAGCAATTTAAGAGTTCTGTTTGTAAGGTGCTCCATGTGGTACAAGCCAATCCTGGACGATATGTCCTGGATACAAGCTCTTACTCGTTAGTTAACTCTTCTATCAGTCATTTGTGGTCCTGAAAAGGACCGATGGGTTGAAAGCTTGGAAGCCAGTTTAGAACAATGCTATGGAAATGTTCTTGGAGATGATAGCGGTGCGGAAATTAAATACGTATTAGTGAAAACGTATCAATTACAGAATCTGAGCCTACCGGACGGTAACATGCTTTTTGATGCAAATTTTAAGCCCCTTCTTTTAAGAGAATTTGGCACCATTTTTTTTTTGGGCATAATTTTCTTAATAGGTGCTACAAATTTGCATCAAAAGGCATAAAGATAGGTACCGTCTGGCATGTTCAGTGCTTGGTATCAATATTCGGCGATTGTGTTAGGGAAACCACTTTTCCCATCAAGGAAACGCCTCGTTTTCTGATGCCAAAATTACGCATTTTCGTGCAGAAAACACACGGAATTTTTGGCTTATTCAATAGATAATACAGGGCTGGTAGCAGGTCACTTTTTAGTAACTTGGTCACTATTTGCAAGTCAGTCAGTTTCTTAAAATTTAGTCACAAAAGTAATTTTTTTTTACCACTAATAATGTCAAGAAAAAATAATTTGCCTTTTAAAAATCACATCAAGTAACAGCTTGATTTGGTAACAAATTTGTGTTAAAAAGATTAATTAAAAATCAGCGTGTAAATTTCCACAAATAATAGTTGCTAACAGACCAGAACTGTCCAATTGGTGCTGGTGGAATCACTAATATTTTTTTTTTGACGTAGACAACGTCTTACGGGAAGGTACTGGGAGTAAATCGAAAATCTAAAATTGCGACTGTCACGAAAATGTGTAATTTTTTGAACGCCTATAACTTTGTCATTTATAGATGAAATTAAAATCCAAATGCTTTTAGATTAGCTATGAAAGTCCCTCCTACTTGAAAAATTATGCTATAGAACGGTTTATACAACCCCAGTTTTTTTTTTGCATAATTCTTCAAGTAGGAGGGACTTGCAATGCTTATCTCTTAGCATAAATAGAGGTACCGTCGAGTTTATTTTCAGTGCTAGGTTCTGAAATTTGACAGGGAGCGTTCAAAAGGGCCTACTTGTAATGTTCGATTCTCTTCATCGATTTTCTGTTTACAGCTAAGCGAAACAATTCAAGCTGAACATTGCATTAGGTCGTAAGTAACACTGACAAGATTCTCTTCGTCGACTTTCTCCTTGAATCCACTCGGTCCAGGTATTTTCAGCACACATATCGATAAAAGAAGTTTTTATCTAGCATCTAATACGACAAACGCAACAAGAAACGATCCTGTGCTCAAGTTATTAAGGCTGTGTTCCATTTGGTGAATTTTTACTTATATTTGACGGATGGAAAATTTTCAAATAAACCTGCTATTCCAGCAGACTTATTTCTGACAGACAAGGAATCAATTATTGGAAAGACGCTTTCTCGAAAATCGGGCGATTTACAACAGAGGGATTTACGAACATCTTAATTTATGTTCGAAGTGTCAAATCTAAGTGAAAATTTTCCAAATGGAACACAACCTCAGTATTTTTTTTTATTTGTTCCATCGTTAGATAAATATGTACCGAGAACTTATTGGAGGGATTCATGGCTAATTGATATCATCTCGATCAACTATGAAATGTTGCATAACATTGATGCAAAATTGTGCACTCCGGTTTTGTATGTGCACTTATTTTTAGCGTTTTGAAGTTGAATCGCTGAGGATCAATCTCATTACCAAATAAAAATTTCAAGAGTACAGATATCAGCTCTCACAAAACTTATAACAAAGAAACTGGAACTTCACGTTTGTTGCAGTCCAGTACACAAGAAGTTTAAATTTCATGATAGGGAATATCAGCCATCATGACGGTCATTGTTGGACGCTTCAATGAATCACCTGAAGAAAGCCTTACTCATATATGATTGTAATTTAGGAACCAAATGTAATAGAATATGTGTTCGCATTTTGATGAGGTCCTGAATTTAACCAAGTTTTACTAAATAGGAAATCCAAAATATGTGCTTAGGACCGAAATCATAGGTTACTTCTACTGTATTTTAAATCAATATCTAGCAAACATGCACGAGAATTTCACTACACAGCTTAACGTAGTCTGCGTCAACCATGCGGTCGTGTCCTGTACACAACCCCACCAATTTTCATCTCCGTGATCTAGACATTCAGGTCCGTTGTCTTCGATTTTTTCCAGACCGAATTATAAAATTTCTAAGTTTTCCCTCTGCCTTGTGATCTCGAAATAGTAAAAGGAAATTTAATCGCAAATTTTCTGAGGTTTCGATAAAAAAATCCGATTCCGGCTTCTTTACTTCGTGATCCTGAAAGTCTTAGATTTTTCGAAAAATGGTCTAGGAAACATTTCCAAAACCAGATTTTAGAAAAAAAATCTATGTCCAAGATAATGAAATGTTATTTACGTTCCAGAAGTATTTAATTTTTTCAAGGACTTTCCATATATTCAAAATATGAAAATTATCCCGGGCCGCACAAGTTTCTTAACTTGTTTGTCTTAGAGATGCTTAAATCCCAGCATTGATGAATTGGTCCAACATTTCTAAAATTTATCCCGGAATCTTTCATTTTTTTTTCGATTTTCAGATGTTAAGTCCGAGACGCATGCAAAATATTCTACACGTCAAATAAATCTGACTTATATGTGAGTCCCGTTCACTAAAATTCGCATTTGCAGGGCTGGTAGCCATCACTGCTGTCAAAAATACTGATTTTAGTGACCATGTTAAAGAAATAAGTGACTAAATAGTGACTCATAGTTGTGAAAATAGTGACTAAAAAGTGACCCTGAATTGAATTAAAAATAAATTTTATTGAAAACTCTTAGGAATTTCTGAGCAGCACATCTCCTGTGAACTTCAAAGGAAAATTCCAAGGGCATTCTGAGAATAATTTCATAAAGTGCGTGGGAGAAAATAAATTCGGAGCATAAGTCCTTGGATTTTTTTTTTGAAAATACTAAAAGAAGGATTACAATTAAATCTGAGAATAACTCCAGGACATCTTCATTGGAATTTGGAAAATAAATTCAGGAGAGTTTTACAAACAAATTATGAGAAGAAATCTAAAGAAATTGTGAGTAGAAATGCCAATGAATTCTTAGGAGACTTTCAATGTGAGTAGAATTCCAAGGGAAGGAGTGAGATTCAAAAGGAAATCTGAAATGAATTCAATGAATATTTTGATAATCTTTCCAAAGGGTGTCTTATTGTGGAGCATTTCAAGGTAATTCCGATAAAAACTTAAAGAAAATTGAATTCGTTTTTTTTTATTTCCTATGAAGTTCTCGAAATGTTTCTGAATACCACTGTCCTTCTGTGAAGTTTTCGAAGTTTTTCTAAATTTCTGCAACTTTTGTGCTGCCGCAATTTTCATGGAATTAGAATGAAATAATTAGTATAGTTTTATGATTTTCACTTAAGTTCTCATGATTTTTCTGAAGTTCATGAAACTTCCATTAAATTATCAACACTAATTTAAAACTTCTTCAATAGTCTAGACTTTCCGGGTGTTATTAAAACTGCCTAAACGAATTTCTTTAAAGTTCTCTAGGTTGCCCTGAATTTATGATAAATTCAGGGCAACCTAGAGATAATATTATAATATTATTATAATATAATATAATATTATTTATCAGCATTTTTTAACAACCCGCAACTTTACTGAAATTAATTGATTTGCCTTGAAATTTGTAATTTTCCTTAAGTATTCTAACCATTTAAAAACGCTCACTTATTTTCCCTGAACTATGCTTACCTAAAGTTCTCTAAATTTGTTGGTCCGGCAAATTTTCTGATATATATTATATATTTAAAATCCCCTGACGTTTTTAGATCAATCATAGAATTCTTCGAATACGGAATTCCTTGTAAGTCGCTGCAAATTTGCTTAAGTTAATGGGATATTCTGAAGCTATTTGATCGTCTTCGAAGTACTCGGAACTTCGCTGAATATTATGAAACTATCTAAGTTCTAAGTTCTCTGTAATTTCTTGAAGATATTTATCGCTGCTTGCTAAAAGTTCTCGCATTTTTTTTTAAATGAATGGAACCTTCGTTGATATTCTCTAATCAACTTAGCTAAACTTTTGTATTTTTTAAAGTTCTTGATATTTCCATGATATAACACCCTTAAAATACTCTCACGTTTTCCGGATGTTCATATAATTTTTATCACGTTCCAGAAGTTCTATCGGAGCTTTGTTGAATTTTCTTTAAATTATTTGAACTGCCTTTGATTCTCTGATCTGTCTGGATGTTCTCGAAGCTTCCCTAAAGCTCTCCATTCTATTGAACTTGGACTTCTGTGAAATTCCTGAAATATTTATGAAGTTTTCATAAATTATCTGATGGTCTCTGTACTTCCCTGAAATTCTCGGAACATCCTAAGGGTTCTAAATTTTCCT